CCCCAAAACCCCAAAACCCCAAAACCCCAAAACCCCGGATAATATAAATTAAAATATAGAAGTAAAATTGAAATTTATTAAAATTTAAAAATTATCTTTTGGATATATTATTTTAAAATTGCTGTATTTCAAAAATTATCATAAGTATGGACAGTAGTATATAAATCCCATATGATTCGCTTTTTCTTGCCTTGGTCTTAACTCTAATTCTTACTACTTTCACCCTTCTTTAAAATCATCTTGAATTTCTAAGATTTCCCAAGTGAATCCACTTGATCTCCAATATTTGTATATGATGCTCCATATGAACCTGTTCTTTACTCTCTATTAGCTCCAAATTCTCTTTTGGTAAAGTAACTTTTAACAATCTATATATCCAATCATTAGTTAAGATATGATAAATCTTACAAATTCATTTTCCCTCTTGGTACGATGACCTAATAAATCAGGTCTCAGTATGAAAGATGTGGTGCTAGTACTATTCAAACTAAAATAGTTATCATGAGATACTTATTTCTTATGCTTATTAATTGGTATTATCTTGGTTTCCCTTTCGTCCTTTTAAAATATCGGTATTCCAGTCAGCATATTCTGGCCAACATTATTTGAGTTATTTTATTAATCAGAGATATTCCCGGTAGTATTAATAGGTTATCTACTCTTCATATATTCATTATACTCTTTCTGAGATAGTTAAATGATTTCTTACTTTTTAAGCTTCGTATTATCAGTTGCTGATATTAGACTTTAGATTTTATGAGTGGAGTTTTAAGATAGATTGATATCTTTTATCGCTCTTCGAGTTTAGATATTTTACTGGCTTATTATAATGCTGGATAACGGAGCATTAGATTTTAATACTGCTAAATTTGGTGTCTCGCGCTAGGTTAAACTCTATGTTTTTACAATGACTTAGCCATTAGCCAGTATATCTTAATCTCTGTCGAACTGTTCTATTCTATTCTACTTTTCAAGCAGACTATTATACTTCATGATTTATCTTTTAGAAACAGTATCTGATTAGCCCTCTTCAGGTTTGCTATTGTCAAAAGATCGCATTGGGATTTGATAATCATAATCACTAGAGTTAATATTTGACATTTAAGACTATATGCCTATATAAGCAGAAATAGGCCTTAGACTTGAATACTACTGCTGGTTTTAATTTAATTTGTTTTAGTTTTCTTTTAGGAAGTGATTTTTGCTGAATAAAGGTTATCTGACTTCTCCGAAAATAAATTCATTTTACTCAGAGGCAGTTTTTGGCCTGAATGACATTGTATTCTCTTAAGACTTTGAATATTCGTATTGTCCTGAAAATCCTAATGATTTTTTGTTATGATTAAGCAGATTCACGCTGGAACCCTAGAAGCTTGACTCAGCATAGTTATTTTTAGTATGAGAATAGTCACTTTGTTTAGATAGTATGACTTATTTGAGATACTTAAGTTGATCTTAGCTGACCTTTTTTAGAATTACATTTTTCCTTTCACTTGAAAACCCTTTACAACTACCAAACTTCAATTACTTTTCATTCGTTAGCTTCCTATTTTAACCTAGAAAATTAATTAGTAAAGTATTACTTCTGTTTGTGGGCTAGGTATTCCTTGTGTCATAATCATCATCATCACTTTCAAATAACCCGTCGTCTTCTAACTCAATACAAACCTCTTTTGGCAGCTCATCTGTGAGAGACTCAGTTTCCTTTTCCCTTGTCTTCAAGTACCTATTTTATATGTGCTTTATCGACTGCTACTGCATCTCTGATGACTTTTTCACCGAACTTACTTAATTATAAATTGAACAGACTATTCTTACACTAACTTAGCTTATTTATTAGTAGTTATCTCTTTTTTTGAGTTTCTTACAATTAATTTTAGCTCAATGATTTCATTTTGATACCTTAATGCTGTTGTTTATATATTTATATTTTAATTGATTAATTTTATCTTTATTTTTTCAAAAATCCCTGCATAGGGGTTTTGGGGTTTTGGGGTTTTGGGGTTTTGGGG